AGCCTTTGTTACTTTGGTCCCAGCTCTCTGCAGGTCATTCACTAGGTCCCCCCGTGTGGTTCTGGGATTTTTGCTCACCGTTCTTGTGATCATTTTGACTCCACGGGGTGAGATCTTGCGTGGAGCCCCAGATCGAGGGAGATCATCAGTGGTCTTGTATGTCTTCCATTTTCTAATAATTGCTCCCACAGTTGATTTCTTCACACCAAGCTGCTTGCCTATTGCAGATTCAGTCTTCCCAGCCTGGTGCAGGTCTACAATTTTGTTTCTGGTGTCCTTCGACAGCTCTTTAGTCTTGGCCATAGTGGAGTTTGGAGTGTAACTGTTTGAGGTTGTGGACAGGTGTCTTTTATACTGATAAGTTCAAACAGGTGCCATTAATACAGGTAACGAGGACAGAGGAGTCTCTTAAAGAAGAAGTTACAGGTCTGTGAGAGCCAGAAATCATGCTTGTTTGTAGGTGGCCAAATACTTATTTTCCACCATAATTTGCAAATAAATTCTTTAAAAATCAGACTGTGATTTTTCTGGATTTGTTTTTCTCATTCTGTCTCTCATAGTTGAAGTATACCTATGATGTAAATTACAGGCCTCTCTCATCTTTTTAAGTGGGAGAACTTGCACAATTGGTGGCTGACTAAATACTTTTTGCCCCACTGTAACAGCTGAAACAATGACAGTAATGTCAAAATTCAAAGGACACAGTACTTTACTAGGTAAGTGATTAAATTACTTAAGGTTTCAGATGTAAATGTATTGTACCCTAATTGTATCCAGCAGTGTAACAGTTAACACAGTAGTTTGGGTTTGGCTGAGTTTGAAGACTAGTGTTCAGTACAAATCTACAAACAGCTGAGTGATGTCAGTGTCCATTAGTAATCATATTACTCTGGGGGCACATTTGCACAACATTACATCCATCTGTCCCACAACATGCAGGAGATGGCCAGTTATACCCTTGCTCACAGGGACATACAATTTTATTGGCAGGATATTATGGTAGAAATTCAGATGAATAAAATTCTTAAGATATGTTTTACTTAGTTCCAATTTGTGCCAAAACCAGTTCTCCTTATGTTTATAGCCACGTCCAACCCAGACACACAGACGTGCACATTTCTACATTGAGTGCGGCTTGCACTTCCCAACGGTATCTCTGTCGGTCATGAGTAAACACCTACTGAGAAGTCATAGGAAAAAGATTCTTTTCTCAGAATTTGCCTGTGACTCATCACATTTTTAGGTTTTCTTCAGTATCAGAGTAATCCAGTGACAGCTGGTTGAACATCCAGTGGCAGATTGCAGAAAGGAATGGCTAATGTCTAATTAATCATACTTTTAATGGTTGTCTCAATATTGTCTGAGGGGCTATCTCCAGTGTCGGACTCTGAAAACCCCTTGTGTAGAGTATAATATAATAAATGAATAAAGAAGTCATTGTTACTACATTTCTAAGTGGCCTTGCTATACAGGTATTTTTTCTGCTAGTTGATTTAAAATGCCTGTTTTACTGATAAAAGGGGTTTTATATCCTATACTCATCTTTTTTGTCAAAATAAATAACATACAAGTCAAATCACCATCACCATGTGGTTTCATAACCACTACCCTTCATCTTATCTAAGTTCCAATCTTTGGGCTATCTTTTAAACATTTTTGAGTTTGGACATTGGAGCTGCTGAAAGGTTCAGTCAGTCTCCCCTGAGGCTTCACCCACTAGCAGTGCTATGAAATCTGCCTTTCATCTGCCTCTTACACAGTTCCCCTCCATCTCTTTAGTACCCATCAGAGAGGTCAGTCAAACATCAAACAAAAATATGTTTCTTATGAAACATCAAAAACGGAACCTCTCTTCAAGACTACAGCTAGCGCGCCTCTGTGAGAGCACAGAAACGTACACCTCTGCTTCCTGTGATCCTCCCTTTTTTGTCTTCATGGAAAATAAACTGCAGATCTGATGTTTTCTACCATCAAATCTGATCCTTGTTTTTTTTTAGTGGCGCTATTATAGGTGTGGTAGTGTTCCAATCTAGACAATAATAGACCTGGTGTAGTAATGTCATCCTGTTCCTAAATCTCTGATTATTTTGATTTTTCTGGACACCTTATTGTACATTATTGCTTGCTCAACACCCCCTACTGGTTTACTATGCAACACACACAGTAACAGCGACCATTTTTAGCTGATAAGAAGTATGTGGATGCTGGCTGAATCTAATCCCCACATAAGTACAGAGAATGGGCAGTGAAGTGGGTTACTGTGGGGGGAATTTGTATATAGTAGGAAAATTATTGGCAGGACACAGTGGACATACTCAGGCTCGGAGACCTCGCTGTCAGAAACTGTGGGCACAAAGCTGAGTGGAGGGAACAGTGCAGGCCTGACTGCGGTGCGACCCCGCTGGATCACCTCCATCACATACCTGAGGACCCAAACAAACCCAGAAGTTGGTAACAGACTGTTCTTGAGAAGCACACGGGCTAGAGAACACAAAAAGGTTTTGACAGAATGACTAGGATAACAGCTCAGACTTGTGTTCTTGTCAGTAAAGTAAAAATCTTTTGAAAAACTGTTGCTGATTAAATTGACTGACTGTGGTATTGGGACATGTACACTCACTTGTCACTATGTTATATTTAAAGGTGTCTATATTTTTTTATCCTCCGTAGACATGAGGGTCAGAATATTAGGAACACCTCTGAATATAATGTAGTCCAGTACAACACCGCCTTTAACTATGGCCTCAATAAGTATAATTGAATTCATACGTTTATGACAATTTCACCAAACACTGAAACATTTTAAGCTTCATAAACACATGTTAAGGTGGAAGTATTGCATTGAATTGCAGACAATTGTGCAGGTGTACCTAATAAAGTGGCCGGTGAGTGTATTTCTACATACCGTTGCTTGGGTTGTAAAGGTCCAGACTTCATTCTCTCCTCCTCAAGCCGCCGGCGAACCTCCTCCAGCTGGATGAGGGGGCTGGGAGCTGGGTTGGGGGGCATGGCAGGATCCTGGATGAAAGGGTGAGATGGCTGCACATTGTTCCGCAATTGGGTGTTCGTGCAGTGGCGCACCAACCCTGCTGAGCTGAGACGAGATCCCTCATGACTTGTAGTTCTCTTGGATCCAGTAGTACTCCTAAAAATGTAAAAGACATCGGCAATCAAACCAAACAAGAGCAGTCAAAGACTATTCTCTAATGCAACTGAATAGGGAAATGCCCAACCAGAACAGAAATACAATCATAGCAACTTTATTTCTGCTTTGACTGGTGGTGGGCGCAAAAGGAAGGAGGACATTTTCCTACAAGTTGACACAACCAGTGATATTTTAAAACAAGAACACAACTTGATAATATTACAGTTAGGCTGCAGTGTGTGCCTTTGCACTTGATATTTAAACAAAACAAACAAAAAAGCTTGCACTCTTGTCACTGACCCATATGGGCTCCTCTTATGTTGAACTGTTTCTTTCTGTCCTTCCATCAGCCATAAAAGGATCTTCTGTTTTTTCTCCATGTCCTCTGCAGGTCCTGAGGTATCATAAGTCCGTACATCCTCACCTTTCTTGTATCCTCTTTTACACTGTGTGCCACCTTTACTACTATACAATGGAAGAAATCAACCAGTAAGAAGCAAAGCAAATAACATTTTAGGTGTATTAATCACAAAAAAAAAGGTCTCAAACGCTCAAGTTTGGTGTGTACCTGTAACCTGAATGCTCCACATAGTTGAATCCCATGCCATCTGTATAGTTGCGAGGCTTTGATCCGTACTGACTTGACTCCATGCCCCAGGGAAAGCTGCCATGCACATGCATTGCTGCCTCACTCTCTGCCTGCTCTTTGGGCTTCCCACTGTCTGTGTGGTGGATGTGGTGTGCGTGTTTGTGGTGATACAAATGGCTGGTCTCTCCCTTGAAACCATGCCTAGATGGATGTTTACTCTGACCCAATGACAGCGGTATCCCAAGCCCCAACCCTTTGCCCCCTGGGAAACCATCTGGCGAGTTTGACTTGGGAGAATGGCGGCCTGTCCCTGGTGACTGGCAGCCGGGAGTCTTCATGACTCGTTTGACGTGGTCATCCAGGATGCTCTCAGGGTTCTCCTCATGAGCATCTTTTAGAAAAGAACCACTGTAGGTGATGTCAGCATAACAGGAGGTGTAATTCTGTCGATAGACACCAGGGGGAAACCTATGACCAGATAATGATGTAGCTGTGAACATCACAATGCCTTCATCACCTTCTTCTTCCTTCAGTACAAAAACAGAAACACAGTATATTCAGTATGTCAGGGTGTGGTATGAATATCTGTGTGACACTTCAAAACAAAACCTTAGCCTTATAGAGATTCATATATTTTACAGTTTCTTTCCCAAGACATTTGGTAGAACTAAAGATCGTTTCTGCGGGATGCATGTGCTGTATTCATTTCAACCTGCAGATGGCAGATTTTCACCACATGCTAAACGTACTGCAGAGGTTTGCAGACGGCCAAGAATTCAACACTATCAGATATATGTATGGACATCACACACCTCTGTTATATCATATAATGACATGTTCAAGTGATGCACATTTTCAACTTTGAGTGACTCGGACAAAATTACTCCCTGACAGTATCTGCTTAAGGGGGAATCATGGAGTGGGTTGTGTGCTACAGGAGTACTTGGCACGTTTTGACAAGTGGGCCCTTAGCAAGTGGAGGACATGCAGCGATGAAATAAAACAGCAGTGCTGGGAGAAATTTACTTTCTAAAACTGGTCAAGCTGCAATCCTTATGTGGCACAACATTCTTACAAAACTATTGCTGCTAAATGTATGGCAATTCTAAATTTTATATTTTATCTCAGATTTTCATATAACACATGAGAGGAATAACATATTGTGCAAGTGCAGATTACAGAATGTTCAGCTGTATTCACCAGCAAGATGTGAACCAAGAACAATGTTTTTATTACAGTTGGAGCAGTGAGCGCCTTACTGCAGAGCTTTTATCTGTACTGCATCCTGTGTGAAGTTAGACGGGAGGAGAGTGAACAAAGAGACAGTGGAAAGACAATAGTAGGTAGTGGTGTCGCTTTTAGCCAGCACATACCTACATTTTTCTGTCAGTTATGGTAATAATTAAACTTTCACTTGTGAGCATGCCAGAAAACTGAGTTGTTGCCTCATGTTCACCATTCATTTGCTATGACTGTATCAAAGACAGAACAAAGGGATTCTCAGCCTATTGTACATAATTTCCACTTCCCCTGTGCCTCATTTTTATCTTTAATATTGTCATTAGATTACCACACCACAGGCCAGAAAGACTAAAGGTCAACTGTTACCTTGTAGAGGAGAGAAGAAATGGAAATGGGATACAGTATTGAGGTAGTATCAGTTAGTAGACCTTGTAAAATTATTAAGCACCAAAATCCAAGACTTTGACTCACATGAGGCTGAAATATGTTTGAGAAGGAAAGGATTTTCTACTCATTTATAACCAGAATGTCAATCATTCCAAACCATAACATCTTCATTTGAGCACATTTTTACACTGCCTCCCTCTTTTCCATTTGACAATGAAAATCCTTGGCAAACAGCAGCAGATGGTGGTGGAAGGCATTTACTGATGACAGTCTAGCTCATTCATAAAATGCCACGCCTCTCCTTATGAGGAATAGCAGTGCGAATGGTTGCATGCCCTGTCATCTTGTTAACTCCAAATAAAAATCTAATTCAGACCAGTAATGACCATCCTTTTCACATTGAGTCTGCTGTTCTTGTGTGTAAATGATCCAGTGCACAGCTGGACCACAAGGCCCATTGTTCTACATGTAATCATGTTAGGTGAAGCCACAATTTCATTCTTAGCAGACTGTGGAAGAAAGTTACTCACATCCTCGTGAAATCAGACTGTGGTTCTTTTCCCCACAGCAATAAAATGTTAACATACATTTGGAACCAGATCTTTAAATCCTGGTCATTTTAAAACCTCAGATATTGTGGTTAAAAAGCTAAAACTTAAGTTCACGTTTCCTTTTCCAGACCCAGAATATCACTTGATAAACATAGTCATTTCATTCTTGCCTCCATGTTTAATAAAGCAAACCTAAACTGTATGATGGCAGTCTCTCTCTTTTCAGCGCCCAACCACATAAATTATCTGCCTTGAGAATTAATACTTGGCTCTGTGTCCTGAGGGAGATTTCATTTGTGGTAGCAGTGACCATTTCATCGCTGTTCAAGTGACATTAAACAGACGGCACACTGTTCCAGGCTTGCAAGTGGCCGAGTGTGCAGGTGCTTCATCTGATCAACATAGCCAGATCGCTGACAGGCCGAGGACAGAATTCTTCAAATGATTCATAATGTGTTTTTATTCCCCATTCAAATGGCTGGCCTCATTAATTTCATTAAGGCCAGACAGATTTAAGTCTCCTTTGTTGCTGAAAACTTGAAGCCAAGTGGCTGGCCACACATCTTGCATTGGTTGTATCTACTAATACTCTCCAACCAACAGTCTGCTTTTCAATATACTATCTAAGGTCAATTTATTTAATCTGTCCTAAAATTAGGGCGGTGGTTAGCACTGTCGCCTCATAGCAAGAAGGTTCTGGGTTTGAGCTCCGGCCGACCCGGGGCCTTTCTGTGTGGGGTTTGCGTGTTCTCCCTGTGTCTGTGTGGGTTCTCTCCGGGTACTCCAGCTTCCTCCCACAGTCCAAAGACATGCAGCTTAGGTTGACTGGTTTCTCTAAATTGCCCCTAGGAGTAAGTGGTTTCTGTCTACATGTCAGCCCTGTGACAGAATGGTGACCTGTCCAGGGTGGACCCCGCCTCTCACCCGGCTGGGATTGGGTCCAGCCCCCTGTGACTCTCTTCAGGAATATGCGGTATAGATAATGGATGGATTCAAAATGTCATCTGTTTAACAGAAGCTTTCAGGTTTATTAATTAAAAATTTGTTATACAAAATGTTATAGAGCTAAGTTTATTATTCAGTTCGGTTGTTTTTGTATTGCTCGTCATACAGATTATGGAATATGATCATGGGCTCTGTGAAATAGTTTTCACTATTTTCTGACATTTTATTGGCAATGTAATCAATCAATCTAGAAAAAACTGGCGGAGTAAATCAGTAATGAAAATAATCAGTACTTGCTTGCTCCTAGATTCATTGTTTCTTTTCCCCTTGGCCACTAATATTATTCAGCTACTATCACCAAAATGTCATGGTGGCAGTAGCATTCAAACAGTTACAGTCCCTAACATGACTTCAAAGTTTACCTTGACTGAGTAGGGGCTCTTTCAGAATCTACGCAAGCTACACAGCTGTAAATGCTTCTAGTTACGCAAGGAGGGTTTGCTGCGTACTTGCATAGCAAAATGTGTCGTCCAGAACTTGGTAACACAACAAGTGCGAGTATTATTTCACAAATTTTCGCTAATGTGGGTACTGTTTTTTGGTGTGCAATAAAAAAAAAAAACCACGATGTGCCAAGTTGTTATGATATGGCAACTGCATGTTTCTTTTTACTGTATCTTTTACCTGCAACAATTTAGCAGAAGCAAAATCCTACACTCCTCTATGGCAGCAATTTTCATTCGTACTGGATCATGGGCCGATGTTTCTTACCCCCCCGTTGGGTGAGTAGTTATCACATCTGCCAAGACTCAGCACAGCCACGCTTGTATGTACAGACACACTTGCGTAACTCTTGCGTTGACATAGTTTGTACAGGCTTGAAACAGCCCTAAAAACGATGCTGTTATAAGAAAAGCTGACAGCAAATAAAATAAATGTTTCTTTATTACCTTATGTTAAATGTCACCAAATCTACAGACAGTACTCCCACTGTGAACTTCTGCTTATTCACACTTGCTAAAAAAAAAAAAAAAAAAAAGAACAAAAGTTGACATACCAATCGAACTCTCTTCAGTCGCTCCTCTAGTCTCTCTTGAGCCACTCTGTCCCTCAGTACCCCCTCCAGTCTGTTGATCAGCTCTGCAGCAAACCTTTCTGGCTCCACATGTATGTCCTTTGGAATCCAGTTTGTGCGCTGGAGGAAGAACCACTGCATTACTGTCAACACCATATGGGCAGATTTACCACCCTGACCTTTTATAATCCTGTCAGTGACCACATGAAAGGACTAAAGCATAAACAGGAAACATTATACTGGACAGTGTCAAGTGTTAAAGTGTCCAAAGTGATTGTTAAAAGCAAATACAGACTGTATTCTTCTTAACCACTGCTATAAATTTGATGTGGGCTCAGACTTCCCAGTGTCTATTGTTTGTGCATCAAAAATGCATCACTTTTCAAGCTTTGATATGATAACTACATCTATTTGATAAGGTTTCTACAGAAAAAAATAATTAAATCTAGATTTGGCATGGACCTATTTTTTCTAGTTTACATTTCAAAATGATTTTCTGAACTATGGACAGTAATTAATATAATTTTAAACTCGTATGTTAAGTACACGAGTAACATGAATTTCTTCTCCAGCTATCACCAGTTTGGAAATCACAGCAATTCAAAGCTTTAACTACCAATAATATGGTAAGAAAAGGTTGGAAAACAAAGTAGCAATAGAAAAAGCATAACCTACAAGCCTTGTCAGTCTTTTTATCAACAATGAAGTAAAGCCATGATTCATTTCTTGGGGTTAGAAAATGTGAAAGCTATGCTTTGGAGATTTTTGCTCTACTGTACAGTCGATCCATGCATCCTAATGGAATGCTATGTGGAGTTTTAATTTGATTCTTCACTCCGAGGCCTAATTAGAGCCAGGGTTTTCCTACCAAGAGACAGCCTAAGCTGCAGAGGGAGTCATCAGGCTGTCACAGGGGAGGATTCTTGTCTGCTAGGCTTCAGCGCACACAGCATATGAAAGCATCAAGCTGCATTTAGACAGCCTTCTTTTTCACCATCAGCTATTCTTATACTCCATCACAGGCCCTGCGACACAGCAGAGCTTAAATATGCACATCTCCAGTGGTGGAAGCGGGGAAAAATAAAGCTGAGACAGACAGTTAAAGAGAGAGCAGTGTAGAGGCAGAAAGTAACAGGGAAGGAAGTAGCCCATGAATAACTCACTGGAATATGAGGTAGTGGCACTCGCCCATTTGCTTTGGCACTTTCATGCATCTCCCGGTGATGCTGTTTACGGTATCTGTAGGGTGGAACGGCGTCTCTGGAATTAACAACAAAGACATTTTTATAAAACATCCTCATGAAAAAACAACACAGGCAGCTTTGAAGTGGGAAGCTTCTCACTGAATGTTTGCCTAAAGTCTTGATTAATCAGTACAGCAGGACAGGTACTCTCACATGCTCATTGTGTCCCTCCTGCACCACAAGTGGTCTGGCAGATTATAGTTACATGTTAATGCATCCATGAGTCCATTTGGTTTTGCTCATGCTGGGTTTTACACTTTCTTGTGCTGGGAGCTCTGGACCAATTAGCTGGTAACAGTTTCTAATTTATTCAGCTTCAATCACATTTTTGTCCAGTTGTGCAGGCTTTGAAGTGTATTTGCCTTAATTCCCCAGTGCTGTCTCTGCACCTAAAAAAAAAAATCATTTTTCATTATTTTCCACCAGCAGATGCCTGATTTCACACTCAAATGAAATACATGTCCTGCTTGTAAAAGATCCCAAATTGTACAGCACATCGTCTTTGGTCTCATCTGTGTTTGGACAAAGTTACAGTATCTGTGAAAGAAGAACAATTCTGCTTTGCTTACTGCAGGTTAAGAAGTGCAACTATAAAGACTCACTTTGGAAATATTTCAGACTGGTTCTGGTGTAATGCAAAAGAGGTCAGTAGGTTAGGATTTTCATTTATGTTCCATCAGAGATGATTTAATTTCCAGTGAGTTTTTAACATTCCTGATTAGTGTGACTAACGGGTCTTTAGTCACTGCTTGTGTTGCTAAGTTTGAGCACAGGATAAATAGGCAAGAATATTAATTCTGAAGCCAATTAAACTTTTTTTTTGGTCTTCTAGTTGTGCCAATTTAGAAGACATGTCTTGGTTCCATTTTTCATTTTGATGACAATCTCTGATGATCCAGCCAAAGCCGTTATGATGTGGTATAACAACTTTATGCAAAAAATGTGTGTGTCTGTGTGTGTGATAAGAAACATACACACTTCTGTCGGTTAGGGAAATTGTGTCTGCGTCGCTGGACATACTCTGCTGCTCACTATCGTTGGCACTGGTGGCTGGAGCCACAGCATAACCAGTGCTGACATAGTACGGGTTGATGGGCTCCCGATATGGTGCATGTCTAGAAAAATGAAGACACACAGGAAATGTTGAAAAATGAAATGATGTGACAAATATTCTGGCAAAAGGACATTTATACGGATCAGCCATAACATTATGACCACTGACCGGTGATGTGAATAACACTGATTATCTCATTACAGTGTGTGAGGTGTATTAGGCTTTGAAGTTCATATGTTGGAAGCAACGAAAACACACAAACATAAGGAACTGAGTGATTCAGACAAGGGCCAAACTCTGATGGCTGATGACTGGGTCAGAGCTTCTCCCAGTGTGTTCCCAGTCTGCAGTGGTTAGTACCTAACAACAATGTCTAAGGAAGGACAGACAGTGGTGACACTGGTGACAGGGCATGGGCGCTCACTGATGATGAGGTTGACCTACTGTAGATTAAACTTTTAAATGTATCCCAGGCTTTCTCCCTGTACAGAAGAATGATGCAGAAGCACTGGGACTTCAATATGAAGCCTTTGTGATCAACTCACTTCCATTAGCATCTACATTCAACAGCAGTGAGTAATTACAGCCAAGGGTTGGGAAAAATTAAATTTGCAGTCTCCCAAAAACGACTTTTAAAGTTGTGATTATACTTGCCTACACAACTGATAATGGCAAATAAAAGAAAAATGATGAGGGCAAGAGGGTCAAGTCTTTCTAATGCAATCTGTTATTTGATTCAAGACAAATGAGATGATTCTTGGGAGTAAAACTGTCCTGCAACACTGCTCACAGTTCCCCAACCATTCACAAGAACACTTCTCATAACCATATATTAATGGTAACAGTTTCAGTAGCGGACCTGGGCATTTGGTAAATGCCCAACTGATTAACTCAGGCTGCTGAGGGCTCATACTATCTTAAACTTTGTTTTATTGCACAGACTGTGGGCTTTGTCCCCATCGCTTCCACTGGAAGTACATTAATGTATAAACAACAGAAATGATCTAAACTGTTTTAATGTTCACTGTTGTTTTAAGACATACTTGGAGAAATCTTAACCTATGTTTTAAGTACAAAATACCAATAATTACCCATCTCAGCCTGAGAAATCTCCCACAGGCCCATGTTAACCTCAGATAGCCCGACTCTGGGTCCCCATCCAAGGGTGAAGTAATCTTTTTAGGACATATTTCACACATTCAGTATGCTCACACTGCATTTAGTTGGCCACATCATAGTGGTAGAGAAACTGACCATGGTGTCCTCAGCTGCCTGCCATGTAATCACAACTTCCACATGCCATTCTCTTTCTCTCTCCTTCTATACTGCTTGTCTGCCTTTCATGTCAGCTGCTAAATGCATGTAAAGGTCAAAAAAACTTTTTAAAAACGCTCAGTATTGTCACTGATCATGGTGTGACTCCAAAACTCAATACAGAATAAACAACATAAAGTCATCTGTATTGTTGTTCCATGTTTGCCTCCACTTCAGTCTAGTATGCAGATCTGGGCCTCTAAAGATCACTCAAAGGCAACTGCTTTCATTAAAATTAAAAAGACAATGAAGTCTTGCCTTTGAAGTGAACATCTTACTTGAATGAGAACAAAACTGAGCTGGCCACATTTCCAAAATCTCCCAAAACATAAATGAATGTAGAGGTCATTCTCTTTCAAGTCATCAGATTTCTTAAAGCTGATTTAGGTGTTTAATGTCTTTCGTTGCCTGTATCCAAAAAAGATCAGACACAAATGATGCAAAATTTAGTTTCATGAGAACCCAATGGGTGACGCTAAAAGGCTATTTAAAAATGAAGCGTGTCTTTGGTATTCCAGCCAAATGCTTGATTGCTGAAATAATGATGTGAAAATGAGCTCAAATGGTGAAATTCCTGTGGTAGTTAATTATGCAGATTTCTTTCTTTTTCTCTTTTATTTTTGTTGAGATTTCAAATTGTTCAACTGTGATAAAACAGAGAAGTGTGTTCTACTGTCCCAGAACCGCCCCCACACACCTAACACTCCTTCATTAACATATCTTCTCTTAATAATTCAGGCTGTTAAACAACAACTAGCAAGCCCTAGCAAACATTTGGAATGCTGTCCTATCCAAACAATGTGTTAGATAAAAACTATAAGAAAGAGGGTAAATGAAAACTAGCAGGTCTATTCAACTGGTACAGCCAAATGCTGTTTGAGTTTATTAAAATACCATACAATGAAACTTATGCTCCCACTGAATAAACTCTCATGTACAATTTCAGATCCTGCTACATGTTTATATGTAGCAGGATCTGAAGACAAGTCATTGGACAAGTGCGATGTTAACCCTGTAGATTATGGCAATAATATGAATGTAGTATTCTTCAAACTGCATTAGACTAAATCATTTTTAAATCCTGTACACCTGAGGGTAAAAAAGTAAGGGGATATTCAGACCATATCACTTAATGGAGATAATGTACTTATCGGTAGTTCAGGAGCAGGACCTGACCCGAGCTCTGTTGTCACTATTTAACCCACTCAAGCCTCCATACTTGTGCTTACACTTTTCATCATCCTCCCTTTTCTTTCTTATCTATTTTCCCTCTATTCTTTTATCTCTGCTGGGCATCTGCCGGTGCTAGAGAGCCATGCAAACTGCCTTAACCTTCTCCAAAACTGTCAAGCACGCAAGCAACCGAGTATATACAGTACAAGCATTCAACATTCTCATAGTTCATTCATTTGTCCTTAGCGAGGGCAGGTCCCTGCTTGTAAAATCTATCATGCAGAGCTGTAAATTATGCAAAGCACCAACATCAGATCAAAAGAAGAATAACTGGATCTGCAAGAATCACAAATATCCACAAAGTGAGGACAACTCATTCTTCAAAGCAGAAGAAACAATAGAGCAGTGAGACAGACACTGGTCACACTAGTAGAGATGTCTGCAATAAAAGTTAATCTCCATATTATCATAATACTCGTGTTGCATTATACAAACACTAAATTTTAATCGAAGTACAGCCTTGTAATTAGGCACACTAAACTGAACAAAACATGTTTCTTAGCATTGATCAGCAGATTTTTGCACTGCAGAGATAACACCTGGTTGATTCTATTTTGTCTTCCCACATTGGAAATGAATAGCATTTCAAAGCATAGCAACACTTCCTTTAATGCTGCTGTTCCACACAGACACATTGCACTGCCCTACCTCGCTGAGTTGGTGAGGTCGCGCAAACCTACAAGATTGCTCAGATCATCAAGCCAGTTTCTTTTAGAGGTTCCCAGGACCAGATACAAACGCTGGGCTGACTGTGCTTTTACCGTTGCAGCTCCTAAATTGTGGAATAGTTTACCTCCCAATGTTAGATCATCTACAGACTTGACAACTTTTAAATCATTGGTTAAAACATATTTATTTACTTTGGCTTTTAATACATCATATTGTCTGATGCTTCCTTCTTTTAACTACTGATTCTGTGTAATTCATGTGTTTATGTTCCTATTTAGTTTTATTCCTGTATTTTGATTTGATTTATTCATTCAAGCATGTAAAACAGTTGATATGTCAACACATGTAATTTCACACATATCCAACAATAATAATCCAATATCAATTTACTTATACCTAGTACATGCTTGAACGGAGTAGGAAGAAGTTAGACTTATCTAGTCCTACCCCATGACATCATTTTACAACTTTTAAGTCCTAAGCAATATCTCTACATAAATAATTATCCTCTACACCACACAAGTAATATACTACAGAATTATTACAGAGTGTTAACATTCTACATAATTACATTCATAGATAATTATCTTCTACGCCACACAAGTAATATACTAAAGAATTATTACAGAGTGCTAACCTTCTTACACCACACCCACAATGTTCCATCTAATTAATCATTAAACCTGTTCTTGCATGCATCTTGATTGACACATACCTTTATGCTTATCGTTTAAACTCTAGTACTATTTTTTATGTCCACCTTTAAATTATTCCATAGTTCTACACCACTTATAGAAATACAGAATCTTTTTTTGGTTGTACGTATAGCATGAATTTTTAAGTTTAACTGACCCCTTAAATTGTATCCCCCTTCCCTTTCATTAAATAACTTTTGAATTCCACCAGGTAATAAATTGTTCCTGGCTTTATACATAAACACAGCAGTCTTATATCCCACTAAATTAAAACATTTTAACAATGTAGACCGTATGAAAGCTCCATTGGTGTAGGAGAATTTGTCATCAACTATGACACCTAGAAATTTAATTTCATATACTCGTTCTATATTAGCTCCCCCAATTTTCAATTGAAGTTCATTATCTAGTCTACGATTCCCAAATACCATAAATTTAGTTTTATCCAAATTCAGAGATAGTATATTACTATCACACCATTTCTTTATCTTCTCAAGTTCCTGTGAAACCCGTCCAGAGAGTTGCTGTAGGTTTTCACCCGATGCCCATATGGTAGTGTCGTCAGCAAATAAAACCACTTTAAATTGGAAACCTTGCATATATCGTTAATGTATAATATAAATAATTTAGGTCCCAATACTGAACCCTGAGGCACTCCACATACAATGTCCAACTCACTCGATTGGTATTCACCCAACCTCACAAATTCACGCCTCTGTGTCAAATAACTTGTAATCCATTTCAGAACCATTCCTCTGATCCCATATTTTTCTAACTTATCCATTAATAATTCATGATTGATTGTGTCAAATGCTTTTTTTAGATCAATAAATATTCCCATTGTGTATTTCTTCTCATCCATAGCACTTGTAATGTCCTCCATCAGGTCAGTAATGGCCAAAGATGTCGATTGGTTCAACCTAAAACCATACTGGCAATCAGAGAGGATTTTATGTCTATCAATAAATGTGTCTAATCTGTTATTAAAGAGTTTTTTCAAGATTTTTGAAAATTGTGACAACAGAGAAACCGGTCTATAATTTGTGAAGTTGTGCTTATCACCAGATTTATACAGTGGAATAACCTTTGCTATTTTCATATTTTTGGGGAACTGCCCAAGTCGAAACGACATGTTAAAAATCTTATTTTAGTTCTTACCTGTTTTTGTAACTTACTTTCATCAACCAGACGTTTTTAAAGTGCTATACAAATAAATTTTGATTTGATTTTGACACTGCTGGCCAACACAGTCAACTCGTTTCTTGTACCAATTTGTACTGTTAGGTTGAGCTATCTCGCTGACTGAACCTCAGTATGTAGTTGAGTATTCCACCTATTATTTAGATGATGATTCTGCCTGCCAAATTTAAGGAACACACTGACTTTGAATTTAATTAGTGGAGTAGATGTGCATATTAATGTAACTGTATAATGTCAAGAAGGCAGTGTATAATCATTGCAATGTTTTTCTTCTTTTTTTAAATTTTGATCTCTTTCTCTTAAAAACCCTGCCCATGGGAAAACAGGTATGTCTCCGGTACCTGCACAAGAAACACAAAGAACATTTCTTTGGCCTTAACCAGCAAGTTCTTCTTCTTCTGAAACCTCTGATGTCTCTTTAGCACCTAATGTGCAAACATAGCTATAATCACTTCGCACAATTTCTTCTTCTTATCTCACTTGTCTCTTGTGCTACTCTTAGATTGTTTTCATTTTAAACTTGAGGCAGCATTCATGATTTCCAATTCAGCAGTTTGCAGAGAAAAGGTGTGTAGTTAGAGCTGAAGTGAAGCTTTCTAGATTACTGCAAGGATTTACCTATACTCATGACTGTCCTGGAATCTTGCAGTGCTGGCAACTTGCTGTGGTGCTGTCTCTGTTAACAGCTTCTGAGCAAGATGGTTGGGTTCACACTCAGGTTGCTCCTCTGGCTCTTGGTCACATCTCCATTCTTCATCTTCATTTAAAGTTGGTAAATAACCTGGCAGTCCCTTTCCATTCCCAGAACCAGAGTTTTGATCGCTGTACAGCTTAGGGCTCTCTCCCCCTGTTTGTGTATATTCCAAATAAATGTCGGATTTAAGGAATAAAGGGTAGGTATTTTCCTCCATCACAGTCTGTATCTCAGTCTGAGCCTGGTCAAACATTGCAGGATCAATGTGTAACTTAATCACACAGTCTTTGATGAAGGACTTGGTAGCTGGTTTGATCTGTCTGGACACAATTCCACTGTTGTCCAAGATGTATTTCTTATAGATAGCTTTTGCCAATTTTACCTTCTTCTCCTCATTACCCTCATTAGCTTCAAGTTTGCGGAAGCCACTGCATGCAAACCAGAAGTCCAATATATCTGCACAGTCCTCCTGCTTGAGGAACCTCCTAAAAAGGTGGATGCCATCCTGGTCATCCAGGAGGGAGTGAAGAGATTCTGCCCACTTTACATAGGGCGGAGTGGGGGACGCACTGCCCTCCGGCTCATAACCCAGGTCCAAGTCAGATCGCCTGGGTGTAGCCACAGATGCTTCACATTTGAGATTCTCATTCTTTGAGGAGAAGCCGAGGTTGCCATACTGACATCCTTCGCTGCACACCAGTTCACCTTCTTCCCCTGGGACTGGAGGTCTGGGGGCATCCTCAGTAAAGGTGCCTCCGAGGTCTGCTAAGTAGCCCCTTTCGTCGCTTATGCTCATAGTCCCAGCATCCATAAAACAAGTTCCTGTTGAGCCCACACGGCACAATTAGATCCAGACCTCTACTTACGCCACTGCAAAAAAACTCCTGCAAGGAAGAAGAATATATAATGAGACAGTTTCAACTAACAATCACACATCAAAGTGCAGAAAAGAAGATGAAGAACAAGAATAAATGGCCGAAGGCCACACTAGATAACTTTACTGATCACACTACACAGGCTGAAGGTGCTTTCAGTTTTCTATGACACAAACCACAAACTTGACCTTGATGGAGCATTCAGGTGCTCTTTGTAATAAACCACCATGAAGCTTCACTAGAACAGCTTGCAAACTGGTAAATAGTAGTGGTAAATTCAGGGAAACACCATGATAGCAGAGTTTATGATATTTTACAACTGGCCAACAGTACACCAGGCTAACAGTATCCACATGGTAGTAAATACCAACATGTCCAGGCTGATAACAGTGTGAGTGTAACCGGTCGCCTTTGGGTCTCTAATCTGTCCTCTTAATCCTCGCCTGTCCCTCTGGTGACTGGCCGTGCTGCGTTGTGTTTTGTTATGGGACACATGGACCGACACACTTGCTGTTCACGGGCCCTTTATTGCTGGTCACTGGTCACAGAAGAACAATGCATATAGCAGTTAGCCTCCAGTGAGTGCTTAGCTCGCTCCTAAACAAAAACACACAACAAGTTTACCCATGCGACCTAGGGTGAGTGATAAAAGTAAAATAGTCGCAAATTGATGGAGCGCTCACCTCTTTATACTTGACTCCGTGCGGGAAAGAGAGCGGGAGAGGTGCGCGACCCCTATTTATACCCGACTACCAACGAAGAAAAGCATGACTCAGTTGCGAGCCCTAGTGGAGTGGAGGCTTCCCTGACCAGGCATGTCAATTAACTTACACATGAACCAAAACATTTTACACCCTGATAACATTTTACATATAACATCCCAGTTACATTTTGTGCAATTATTATACCCCGGTTACATGAGCATAATGTCTGGTTTACAATACTATCCATCCATTATCTATACAGCTTATTCTAATGAGGGTCATGGGGGCACTGGAGCCAGTCAGCTGGCATTGAGCAAGAGGTGGGACACACCCTGAACAGGTCACCAGTTTATCACAGCGCTGACAGTCAGAGACAGACAACCATACACACTCGCACTCACTCCTACGGCAAATTTAGAGTTGCCAGTCAACCTAAGCTGCATGTCTTTGGACTGTGGGAGGAAGCCAGAGTACCCAAAGAGAACCCACACAGGCACAGGAAGAACATGCAAACTCCGCACAGAAAGGTACAGGGTCAGCCGGAGCCTGAACCCGGAACCTTCTTGCTGTGAGGCGACAGCGCTAATCACTACACCACCATTCTGCCCCAATACTGTACAATTCATGCATCATATCAATGACATCAGCTTTACTGGCCAGGTGTGTTGAACACATGAGGAATTTGACTCCTCTACAATAGCTCTCAATATACATTTACAATGCTGTTCCCTAAAGCAATGAGTGAACAAAATAAGACCGAAAGAACAAGAAAAGAAAAAGAATGTGCTTTAGAAAAAATTGAAAAATAAAGTATTTAAATATATGTGGTAGCTCAAAGCTGTTACAATTCTTGTCCTAGAACTGGCATTATGGCACGTATTTGGTGCTGATATTTTTCATCCAAGAAAGTAAACAATTAGATTGAGAACAGGTGTTCAGTGTAGCCAGATAATGCCAATTTGCTTTTCGGAAATGTGAGTACCCGCTAGCAGAGCAATGGCAGGCAGCTACGTCTTGGTCAGAGCAGAGTTGGATCAACCAATCGCCGTGCAGGATGCGAGATTTGGGCTCAACCATCAGCAACCTACGTTTAGCCATAAACCCTTTTACTGTGTAGGTATGCGTCAATGCCTATACCCAGTTGCAGACAAGTCTAATGGTATGTTATGTAAAAATGGCTTTTGCACACACCTTGACATTGTTGTGTATGTGGTGCGCTGTGCAGGTTTAGCGCAGACATCCAGGGTGCGTAACACGGAGCGGGGGTGTGCTAAGAGTTCAAATTTGTTGAACCTTGACCCCAGTTGCGCTGACCTCTGTGCATGAAGCCAATCACTTTTCCACCCTAGTTTTGCCTATACTCATATAACCCCAGGTTACAGTATTTAACAAACATTCTGAATTTCCCCAAGCTGTACAATAATAAGATCCTGTTGAGAACAGGTAATGACAGACAATCTATTTAGCCTGAGAAATATCAGCACACGCGTGCCGCTATCAAGAAAACAGTTTGTTCCTCTAAAATGTAAAATTGGTGATCTGCTGCTAGCAACATTAGCTTTGTAGCTGTGCCATTTTGTACAGAACCCCCTGAAATCTCAACATGAGTTTTGCGAATGCACAGCACAAGAACCTTGTTTTTCCTTTGTAATGTGAACATACCTTATATTGCCTGCCAGCTGTTGAAAACATGTCACTAGATTCTGCAAAGAGGGCTATTTCTTGACAGCTGTGGGCAGTACAAGCTCTGGCCAATCAAACATGGCATATATGAGATTAATTCACAACAAACACTGCTGCTTCCAGCAACATTACATTTTGTACACAATCAGTTTCTTATTTATAGTTGTGTAAACATTGTCTGGGGGTTTAAATGAATCTTGAAAAAAAAAACTAGATTTATAATTTCAAAAAGGCTGGGAGCTGGGTCTGCTCTGATTTCACACACACACACACAAATATTTTTAATGGTTGCCATCACGTTCCCTTTAGGGCACACCCACTCACTGTCTTGTCCAATATTGTTAAAAATCACTTTCCTGATTGAACAAGGACAGTAAAGACAAAACCAGCAACAACAAATTTTCTCTCCAATCCTGAAGTGTGAGCAGCACGTGCACCGTGCACAAGGCCAGGTGTACTAAACTGCAAATGATAACCATAAAATTTGGCCCATTTTTCTATAAGTACATTTCATACATAGTTTATCAGTGCTGCAGTTGAAATGCTAAGGAATTCATCAAATGGACAAACTAGCTCCTTGCTACCTGTAGGCTGTGTAATGATGCACCAGAGACGCTCTGTTAGCGCATTAAAAGGCTATTTAAATTAGCGGTTCTGTGTGCACAGGTGTCTGAATGGACGGGATTATTCTTGGAAGATTGAGGCGTGTTTTCAGCCGGTCAGAGTTCAGGAAATGTACCTTTCTAACTAACGCTGAACCAGTTTATTCTTTTGAAGTGAGCCTCTCATCATATTCATGTCTTGGCCTCTTCAGTGTGAGCAGATCAGCAGCAACGAGTGGGGGAGGGGAGACAGAAACAAACTCCCTACACACACGCACGCTCGCGCGCGTGCTCACACACACAGCAAGGCCTTTCAGCAGCCTACCGACAAGTGCACAACTTTGTCACACTATTCGCCTATTAATATCTGTGCCGTATCTGCTAACAGTTGCTGAACCAAAGGAATAACATGACGACCACTGACATTTCCCCTACCGTCAGAGGACACGGAGGGAATCCCACACCAATTTCCGAACAGACTTAGACCCCTCAAAGCGATGGCACACATCCCCCGACTACTGCAATCCCAATCTCTGAGCTGGGAGAGGAAAAAAGTGACATGTACTTAACCGATGAAAATCTTCCTGCTGCTTTCGAGTACATTGGGTATCTGAACCGACACAAGTCAAGGCGAGCGCTGAAACAGTTGCGAACTGCAGAGACTTTAAAAATAACAAAGAAGACAGACCGCTGTCCGCCTCTCCACGGCTCTGTTCCACTGTCTGTGCGGAGCTGAGGCTGCACGGCGGATGATGCACAGCGCCTCGCCTGTTCACCACGCAAACTGCCAGTGTTTAGCACATTAGATTTTTTTGTCTTCTTCTTTCTCACGCTCTCTCAAATACATGTTTTGAAAGAGAGAAGATGTCCCCTTACATTTTTTTTATTACAATCCAGACAAATGGACTACGGTAAGCATTCAAAGGTATCCGAGACCTCATAACTAATAATACTCATAATAATAATTACAAATAAAAAAATACAGGCTATGAGCTGCAGCTATGGACTGACCTGAATATCCTCTAATGGGAGAATAACTGAACCATATTCAACATAATAACCTCAGAATTACACATGTAGCCTAAATAAATATACACATAAAGGTGCATATTATATTCTGTATATAAATGATGAAGGCGTTTGTACTAATGCAAATTAGATAGATCATGTCAGATAGCCCAGATCAACATATTTTCCAGCTAGTCACCACTGCATTTCCATAAACCTAGTGGACTTGAAAGACAGGTGCGCTGATTTTTAATATCTGGTATGGCTCAAATCTCCAAAATGGTGGATCCTGGATTATGATTTCCCATAATGCAACTCAATAGCGTCATTCTGCATGGTCAATGCTTAGGTCTTTACAAAGTCATGGGTTTGTCTGCAGTGCAGGCTTTCCATTATAAACATTTATACAGTTTAATAATCTTTTCAATTATTTTTCATTCTGTGTAGTTTTACTTTTGATAGCCTGCTTTCAGTACATTTTGCTGCCATTACATATGAACTTAAGTAAGATTTTGAATGCAGAACTTTTACTTGTAATGAAATATACTTCATTGTGGTATTGTTACCTTTACCCAAGTAAATCATCTCAGTATTTGTTTAGCCACTTTTTTTTATACACCACGATTTGAGAATCTGAGGTACAAAACTCAGACAAAACTAATGTTAGAGGCCATTAGGTGCATAGTATTTGCAGTTTGGCTCTTGTTTGTGTTTGGACAACAATGTACTCGGGAGGCAGAAAGTCAGCAGGTTTTCAGTCCAACCAAAGGCCACACTAGATAACTTCACTGATCACACTACACAGGCTGAAGGTGCTTTCAGTTTTCAATGACACAAACTTGACCTTGATGGAGCATTCAGGTGCTCTTTGTAATAAACCACCATGAAGCTTCACTAGAACAGCTTGCAAACTGGTAAATAGTAGTGGTAAATTCAGGGAAACACCATGATAGCAGAGTTTATGATATTTTACAACTGGCCAACAGTACACCAGGCTAACAGTATCCACATGGTAGTAAATACCAACATGTCCAGGCTGATAACAGTGTGAGCATAATGTCTGGTTTACAATACTGTCCATCCATTATCTATACAGCTTATTCTAATGAGGGTCATGGGGGCACTGGAGCCAGTCAGCTGGCATTGAGCAAGAGGTGGGACACACCCTGAACAGGTTACCAGTTTATCACAGCGCTGACACTCAGAGACAGACAACCATACACACTCGCACTCACTCCTACGGCAAATTTAGAGTTGCCAGTCAACCTAAGCTGCATGTCTTTGGACTGTGGGAGGAAGCCAGAGTACCCAAAGAGAACCCACACAGGCACAGGAAGAACATGCAAACTCCGCACAGAAAGGTACAGGGTCAGCCGGAGCCTGAACCCGGAACCTTCTTGCTGTGAGGCGACAGCGCTAATCACTACACCACCATTCTGCCCCAATACTGTACAATTCATGCATCATATCAATGACATCAGCTTTACTGGCCAGGTGTGTTGAACACATGAGGAATTTGACTCCTCTACAATAGCTCTCAATATACATTTACAATGCTGTTCCCTAAAGCAATGAGTGAACAAAATAAGACTGAAAGAACAAGAAAAGAAAAAGAATGTGCTTTAAAAAAAAAATTGAAAAATAAAAATAAAGTATTTAAATATATGTGTATATACACAGTTTAGATTGAGTTTTCAGACATGATCACTCAAACAAAAACACTTGTCGTATATCTTCATTACAAACAACAAAAAGGACAGGCCAAATGCAGCAATAAAAGCAGATGTCAGTTTCTATGCTTCCATACCAGGTGATCGCTCAGCAATCACTCAGTTTTACTGAACGTAAGATGATAGAGATCTGACATGGAACACCATTATACCAAACCATTTAGCAGCACCAGAATGAGCAGAAATATACACTTCACACTCTGTCTCATTATATCACCTGAGTTACCCACTCAAACTTAGAAACCTTTTAAAGTATGAACAGTACACTTTGCTTACAATATTCATGCCAGTAACACAAAATATGTAAAAAGACCTAACACACTTTTCCCTCCTTGGGACAAAATGATTTTGGGCAGCAACAATTTAAGCATTCTAAATCTCACTTACTTTATTGTTTAAGTTTTTTTCTCTACAGCATTAATTTTAATTTTCTCTGAACATCAGTCTTTCTACCGAGTACTTTTTTAAAACTTTCCATTTCCACAGCATTTCCCTGTTTTAGTGCTGACAGTATTTGCTCCCAACGTCAAAGACAGCTGTCACATCACCATCCATGACTTTCAGTCATTACACTTGTTGATTTCTGGACAGTGTTACATTATAATCATGCACTATGTAAATAAACATGAAGAAGGTTTGACGATTGAAAACAGATTTTGGACTGAAGCTGTGACCATTCCTCTCTGGCAATTTACAGTCTGCAGATCAATTCAGTCTGTTTTATAGACACATAACCACTTTAATTGTATTCACAGCACATTCATGTATTTTAATGTAACTTACAAGGCATAAAGTTGTTTCATATGAGGGTGGGTGAACCTGTGCAAGAGTAAGTTACCTAATTTTTCAAGGCAAAATACACATCTAGTAACATTTATTTAAAATGTCGTGCACAAATTGAACTGCCAATTCCAAAAACTTGTCAGATATTTGATAGTCAGAAGTTAAAGTGCATTATTTAAGAGTTAGGAGATTCTTTTCACTGAACATTAATTTAGAGTAGACACTTGGTGTCACTGTGTTGTCATCACCAACAGACCAGTTACACTGCTGCAACTGTCTTTCATTTATAAAGGAGTTAAAGTTGAACCAAATATATTTGGTTTACAAATTTTCTTTCTGGCTGTGAGTCCATAGTCTTTTTTAGACATGCACTGGGACCCTGAAATTTTCTAGAGATTATCCGGGGGAGCTGCACGTGAGAACGCAAATGTCCGAGTCAGTTGACCTGGACCTTAAGCGGACTTTACCCTGCCAGCTCCCTAATACAAAGTCCGGGTGAGCTGGAGTGAGCCCATGTGAGAATGCAGCAGCGTATAGTCCTGAGTATTCATAGGGAGCTAGTGGGCATATTGATGATGTTCTGTCATGTGACTAGCATGAAACCAGAACAATACGACCATCCAGTGGTGAAGGAAGATGATCATTTACAATAAAGACACCAACAAAAATATCTAACTGGAGACACAATGTGATCAGGACCAGATTTGTCAGAGAAGGCAAGAGACTTGATTGTTTAAGACCAAATTACAAACTGGCTATGTGGCTGCATCACGTCCTGCCTCCTGCGCACATAAACCAAACAGAGCATTTCAGTAAGTGTTGTGTGCTACATGTGTGAAAGGGCGACTCTCAACACAGTCCGGACCTGATTCAGTGGACACAGTCCAGAGTCCGTGGGTGAAAATGGCTTATGCATGTCTGTGTGTGTAAACAGTTCAAATAAAGTTGATGGAAAGAATGCTGATTTACATGCAGATCAACTCGTTTTACCTTGAGTCTGATCGGCTTCCTCAAGCAGCCTCCAGTAACACGTCCATTTACTGAAGTTTCCATAGTGCAGTTATTGCACATGTTGGGCTGCAGTAATGGTGACATCCCTCTCATCCTCGTAAAATTGAAAGGCCTGGCCAAAGCATAATATCGACATAATGGTTTGTCTTTGCCATCCATTTGTTCCTGAAAAGGAAGAAATATTTCTATAGATTAATATATTAATTAGCTTTATGTATGGCAGAGGAAATGTTACTCAAACTAATGTATGATCTTATTTATTGCTGTTTTAAAAATGCCAGATGTTTGTATTAATTGTATATTCCATATAATAATAGCAAATTTAACATAATAAAGTACATTTTAAAACATTTCCTTTATAATCTATTTCATTATGATACCAATCACACAGATCAAGCTCCCAAATCTTTTATGCTATGAAGTGATAAAGCAGCATGGTGCCCTCTACTGAAACAACGTCTACCCAACGGCGACGTCCTGTAAACAACAATTTAGTGGACTGAAAATATTTCCCTTTCCCTATATCAACCTTACTAATTGCACCTGACACTGAAACTGTTACAAACACAAACATCCAGACAGAATCAAACCTGGAACAGCATCCAGCTTGACCGACATGCATGAGTTTCCATTTTACAACTACAAAAGACATGGAGACAAATGTACTATATATTGGCTCACCTTCACACATTCAATATCACTTCATTTGCATTAATAAAACATAAGAAAAATGTTTTTTTTGTTTTGTTTACATATTTTTAGGCTTTTTCCGTGGTATCCAAATATCAAATGATAATGCATTTTGACTTCGATTGGCATCCAATAATACATTCACAAACCATTTTTACAGTAAACTGAAGTAATAAAAGGTATTACTATCACAATGTTCCCTTCCTCATCATCTACAAACAAGAAGCCCTTAAGCAGCTGGCCCAGTGAAGCTGCTCAGCAGACAGAGGAACAACAGGAGACATCTCTGTTCAGCTCTGAGGTGAAAGTGAATGAATCATACCTGGCTGTTTATGAAAGCAGTGAAGCTTATGCAAAAGCTCTGTGCCATAATAGCTAAAGAAATATTGTAAAATTGTAAAAAGCCTTCAGAGAGAGATTTGTTGTTAATGCCTAAATGTGTTCATTCATCATTTATACTAATTTCTAATTACAGCAAAATGCTAATTCACCGTTGTGTAGCTTGTCAAAAGAGTTTAGAACCATGGCTCCTAAAGAACAATAAGCCCAGAATGTGAGGTCTGAAGCTACCTTTTAAAAATGATTCTCAAGTTTTAAAATAGGTTTTAATTCTTGAACATCCTGCTGCAGTTATGTGTTACCAGTGGACAACTTCATGTTTCCACATTCAGTCCTTTAAGTTGTCTTTTGTTCCACCTGTCAGTGTGGATTTAGATTCCCTTGTAGGCCTCAGCTGAAATAGGCTTATCTCTAGTGAAGACTCCCTGTTGAACAAAAGCCCATGAAGATGTTCAAATGAAGGCTCCCTTGAGCATGCACAATAGGGACTTCTATTTTATAAAACCGGCTGTCTTCAAAGAATTCACTAAAAGTTCAGAACAAAAGAAACAAATTTTAAAAGTCCTCAAACTAAAACTGGACAACTACACGAGGCTTATAGATTAAACCGAGACACTCAAAACCATTGATTTGTTTTATAAAAGATATTTAGATGAGAGGGGTTTAATAAAACTGTATCATGGATATTAAAGCTATTCAGCATTTGTGTTATGTTCTGTAAATGATCCAAAGAGTAATATCAAAACACTGTAGAGAATGTATTCTGAAGTCCTGCTGATGTCCTTTGTCCGGGTTGAATATATCATGACTAACAAGCTTTGGACTGGATTAGGCACAGAGGATTGAGCAATTTAGAGACTAGATTTATTTTGTTGGATATTTTAGCTCACAGAGAATCATATTCCCACAAGAAGGGAAAAATCTTATTAAAAAACCCTTATTTCCTATGGTGACATAATTCCAAAGACATACATTTGTAACCAAACAGCAAAGTCCATCATCAGATGTCAAACATGCGCCAGCTTGAAGAAATTCAAATGAATTTAGTGTCCAGTCTATCGAGGTCTCCGATAGTCTGGTCATGGGATGCACATTTACTGGTCAAATCAAATGATGTGCTTTGCGTTTGGTGAGAGGGAGGACACAACAAAACCAGTATGGCACTGATATGAAAAATGATAACAGACATAATAGAATGATAAACAATACAATGGAAAGTTCCTGGGAATCGTAGTTTTCATTTTCAGAGATTTAAAAGCAGACATTATATCTGCTGATTTACCTGACTGTGTGCTTCTTGGTTTGGTTGTGTTGAATTGCAGACTACTCCCACCATTTTTCTATAGATCGAGTGGAGTCCTTCGTAGTCTGCAGTAAAGACCACCGCCATCTTTAATCACAACGCAGTCCATCTGTCGATGGTTCTTCCCCTTCTACCCTTTCTTTCTCTGTTCCAGTCTCTGTTCCAGCCCTCCGTGTTTGTTGTGGGGGGTTCTTATTTCCCATCCAACATCAAACCACCATATCGACAGGCTCATGGGCCGCCCAGTAGGGGGGAAGCCTGAACATGCTGCCTTGGCTGTTGTCCCTTTCCAAGCCGCAGATTAACTGACCACGTTTATTTTTCTCAGAATGATACAGATAGCCTGAAAAAAAAAATATTTCAGCTCTCAGGCCTTTGATTTCAACAAGCCTGGCCTTAAAGCTCCTTCATGATTGTGCCTTAACATAGCTTTTCCTCAGATTTTCTGACTGATGTGATTTGAAACGCTTTTTGATTGAGGCCACATATGTGTAACTACTTGCAAATTCATAAATTCATTTACAATAGATTCTGCTCATTTAAAACTGAAAAGCTGTTTGGACATTTTTCCATATCCAGCTGTTCCATCATGTGAAATGTAAAAAAAAGAAGAAAAAACATCCTCCTGTTAAGCAAGACAGCTGGAATTCTTTGATCTCACCAATTGAAATTACATTTGAGCAGCTTCGGATACATTTATAAGTACAAGCAGAGTGTCTGTCCGCTTTCATCCAACTAATGCATTTCATTTCTCCTCCTGGTCCCTTTTTGCCTTTAAAGCTTGAATGCAAAGGCGTAGCTTGTTTACTGTTACTGTTTTGTTCCGCCAAACTCTTTCAAAATGGTAGATGTTCTTACCTTCCTCTCCTGCTGCGTGGCTCGTCGGATCTTGTTTCTCTGGTCCACCATGACTGGGTGCAGTCCCAAGGCTACCACCCTGGAATACTTTCTCATGTTCACAAACCTGTTTTCTGATTCTTACTATTGTGTTGATGAAAGATGAGCATCTTTACTTTACATTGCAGCTTCAGCCGTGCGACCCTATTGGAGGAAACAATGACCAGATGATTGCCTGCACAATTGTATTGTAGCTATGGTAACGGACCCAACAGGCATGAGTGATGTGCCTCTAATTGCTCTGTACATTCAGTATTAAGCAACAGAAACAAAAACATAAATTAAGCAGTGCCAAATCAGACATGTTATGCATTTCAGCTGCGAAAGCTTTTCAACTGTCTCAAAGTTATTTTATTAAAACTTACATCCATCTACTGTATGAAGTTGCGAGAACAGCGCAGTGAATGAGGAGATGAGTGCAAAGAAAGGAGGAGAAAGATGGATGAAAAGAAATTTTAAAGAAAGGGGGAGAGATGATATTGCCTTTGTTATGTTGCTTTATCAGCTGCTCACCTTTCAAGTGGATTTCACACTTGCATGTCTTGTTGTGGCCAGGGTCAGGTCTGGCATATCCTTCTCACAATGACCAATTTTCTTCTCACACTGCACCAGCAAAGAGCCGCTGTGTTGACTGCCACTCACATTGGCCTGAATCGTGATGCATTTATATTTATTTTATTTTCAGATTTTAACTTGTCAGTGGCCTGTACAAACATGCAGTTGAGTTAATATCAAAAATTATGTTCTGAAAAAATAAAACAACTTTCAAAAGACAGACAAGAGTGAGATCATAAGACTGAAGACAAACAGCAACATGCCAAAGTTCATATGACTGGAGTGATCTGAAGAAAAAAAAACTAATGATGAATGATATGAAATTGAGAGAGAGCAGGAACATTTTGTATTTTGCACAGTATCATGGCAAATATTTATAATTACTTTGAGCAGATTATTTTAAGTCATAAAAACCTCAATTATACCACAACAAATGAATTCACCATAAGCTGAAATCATGCATAAGCTTTACCCTACAGCTGATCATCCAATAAATATTTTTAAGTGTATATTCAAATCACCTGGTTGACAACTGCTTCAGTAAGACGCTCCATCACAGTAGACATTGTATCTACTTTTATTTTTGACAAAGTTGTGTGCTATTGCAGTGCAGACTGTTAAAATTGATCTGAACATGTGCTTTACCATACAATAACCTGATATTATTCTGCTGCATCAGTCTTCAGTATTAGGAATCTAAGTAAAGATTCCTGCTCTGCCTCAGTATTAAAAATGGCACAATCAGCCAGTGGCACTGATTCAGAGACTCATCCATCCATGTAAAAAGACCCTTTATTAAGCAGCACTGACTATTCTAAGATGAAATAATACACACTCAGTAACTAGTAACTAACAAAACAATGCCAAGATGCTTGCAGTAATACACTATAAAGCAACCATAAGATATCTGCTTGATTAGTGCTTTGGTATTTTGCATAGGCTAAAAGCAATCATTGTGTTGGTCAGTCATCAGAATTCAGAAGTACACACTTGTGTCACACACTCATGTACACAACAAACGCAAAAGCTCTGTAGAGAAAAAAAGTGTCTGTTCGACAAGAACAAATACATAGATATTCTCACAAATTCAGGGCACAGGACTAGTACTGAACAAGCATCACAGAAAAATAAGATGATTTCTCAAAGCAATAGGACAATAAATAATTTAATAGATTTCAACAGTAATACTTCTTATTCTCTCAGGGAGTGTGCTGCTTGGGGTTCCCCACATGAACAAAACTGCCCCAGATCTTTGTGATTTCTGACTGGAACATAATGTATCATCTATCTATCTATCTATCTACATACATACATACATACATACATACATACATACATAAAAACAGAGCTGCTAAAAGGTCTCAATTCCATAAAAGAATATAAGATAAACTATAAGCACCTGCAGAAATGTAAAATCTGTTACATTTACTTAAGCAAGCTTATCTGGTTATCATTAATGCCGTGTTGCTTTCTGTTACATTTCGTTCAATAAAGCTTCACCCAAAGGGCATGGAGAACCAAACAGAAGAAAAATCCTGGAAAAATTCCCTGGAAGCAATACAAATCATCATCCTCATGTCAGCGAAGAATAATACATACACAATTTTTGCTCTTGTTCTCTACTAAAGATTACCTATCATTTTTGGTTAGAGCTAGGTTTTATCTTCTCAAGTAAGACTGGACTAAGGTGGTCTAAATTCAATCTAGCTATGTGTGTTATATAGAGAAGCTCCTCTTTTGGCTTGTGTACTGACAGTGTGCATATAAAAGCAGGTCAAGGTGAATACTCCACATCTGTGATTTTCACTGCTAACTCATTCCCAATGGAAATGAGTCTTATTCATTTTTCATACAGCCTCTAGGATATCGGATCCATAAAAAGGCAAAAAAAAAAAAAAAAGCCCCAGGCGAGCATTCATCTTTGATGCTTTGAAAAGAAAGAGTGAAAAGCTGCAGTCTGGCTTCATGCATATTGTATCACTGAGTAAAGAATTACAAGCAGCCTACTGGTTCTCTGAGTTATTCGCTATGCAAGCTCAATCTCAGTCTGTTCAATACTGATTCACCACAAAATGATGATGGTACTACGCAGATTACCATTAGGTCTAAATGTATTTTGGTTAGTAATGGATTCCATGGTTCTAGTGACATCCACACCCACCGTTAGGCCAGAATTTCCCCTCAGCCACACAACTGCCATCAGACTCCTAAACAGCTGACTCAGGATCTACCTCATGTAATTCCAACTGTACTGTTTACATGCAGTTTGCACATGCATAATTGCACACTCACTGCTGAATATTTGCACTTCACGGCTCCCACGTAGCATATATTTTCTCTGCATTATATTGTGTTCTTGTTGTTGCTTTAAAGTGCCTTAGATTTGTTTTACTACCTACTGTATTTAGATGTTATTGCTCATCTACTTTATATTTCATTTGTATTATGTGGCATTCATGTGGACGGCAAAGTAAGAATTTCATTGTACAGGGAACCATGTTTCCTACCTGTGCATATGACAAATAAACACTTTGACCTTTGGGAAGGTGTTTTGTGTTACATTACATTACTGAGGCATTTCTGCAGAGGCTAATAACGTTTTTAAGATTTTTTCCAGCATTATTGGCCTTAGTGTAATCGTATTGTAATGTATTTGGCAAAATGATGTGATTTCATGCTCCCAAGAAAATGAACTTGTTCTATCATGGGCACTTGACCATAATCTCCATTAGCAAACCTTTAGCTTTGTAGCCTGTCTGTAATGTGGTTTGTTGAGCATATCGGTATCAATGAGACCAGTGTGTGTAATGTGCAACTAATGTGTCTTATCATGCACATTTGGTAGTATATAATAAGAAGACTTGCAGTAATGTGTCACCAGGAGGACTGCTGTATTAAACTGCATTTGTTTTAGCTATCCGGGTGTTACCCAAGACAGCATCTTATAAAGCGTGTGTGTTGTGCTGTCAGTCCCGTCCTGTACTTTTGTATTGTGGGTTTAGCCTAAAAATTACAGCCTGAGGGTAACGTCAGCTTTAGTTTTGTAAATACTCACCTGTTTTAATCACTTGAACTTGGACAATTTACAAAAAACCTGGCTGCAGTAGCTTCAACATTTCTGCAACAGACTAGACAGTTCCTACATGGTATTTAACAGCTTCCCCTTGTGGCCGAATTGCAACAGTACATTTATACAGATTGTTCTACTCTTAGGCCCATAGGGTTCGTGTGTATTTGGATGGAGGAAATCGGCAATATACAACTTAAAGAACTATTAGAGTAAATACCGCATCATCATAGTTACAGTATATATAAAATATTGACAGCAGACACCTTTACTAACAGCGCAAGATAAAACACTGACAAGAAAAACATAACCTTTCCCACGCAAGTGCAGTATCTAAGTGGTAAGGTGTCGGTCTTGTAAACCGAAGATCGTGGGTTCGAACCCCGATTGTTCCTTTTCCATCGTCGGCTTGTTGGTTGAACATAGTGCTTATGTTTTACAAGAGCAGCTGACAGCAAGGAAACCCATTTGCGATCATATAGTTTTGTGATAATCATGGATACTTCACTGACATAGATCTAGCAGACTAGTGTTTCCTGGGTAACACTCCATGTTGCAGCAGCAATGATTTATAGCTACTTCATGCTGCAGCAAATCATCATGTTCCATCTGCTGAACTGACCCTTTGTAAACTGATGTGTGATGATGGGAAGGAGACAACTGGAAGCTCTTGCAGTGGTTTGCAAAAATCTTACTCAACAACATCCATAACATATCACTGGTGGATAATATCAACCCTCCAGCAACAATCACTGTGAGGTGAAATTATTTAGTATTTAGTGCATACTATATCTTGGTCCTTGAAAATAAGATCTTGATGGCAAAATTGCTGGCTTCAAAGTTTATGCATCATGATGGTCCATAATGATTCTGTCCTTTATGATGCTAGTAACTGTGTAAATAAACCAGATAAATGGGGAAAAAAAGTTTGATGTAGCTACAAGAAAAGGTCACTTTAGGCTACTTCAAATGGTAATTTCAGATTGTTGTAAAGGCAGGTGTTGTAAGGAGTGTTATTTATTTAAAATAAACAAAATGCACTAACATTCTACAAGATTATATTCACTTGACTGCCAGAAAACAACTCATAGGTATCATGCGGTCAAGACCACTGTGACTGGTAACTATTAGTATGCTCATATTTTTGTGCCAGCAGTTTGTTTCCATAGTAACCTATGTGAATTTTTGTGTGAATTGTGGCAATAACAATCATAATACATAATAGAAAACACTGGTCCCAATGTCCTGAAAAGTAAAAAAAAAATACAAGCTGGTCCCAATGTCCTGAAAAGTAAAAAGAAAATACAAGGACTTGTTTTTTGTTTTTTCCTTCACAAGAGAATTTGCTGCCCCTGGGCTTTTGATGGATAACTTGACATGCAGTGTTTTCAAATCTGGAGCCAGTTTAATTTAGAAGTGTGTCATCTCCAAAGGACAAAAAGATGTGCATTATAAATATCTATACCTACATAATAAGAGCTGTCTTTCCAATTATGAAACAACCTACTGCAGAAGGTCTGCC